GAACGAAGGTCCTCTCTGCAGACAGGTCTCTGGCTCCACTCCACCCCTCCGTCCCCGGGGCCACTGTGGGCTGAGTGGGGGGCAGCCCTCCTAGCCCAGCTCAGGTGAGGAGCAGGGCGGGCTCCTGTGTGTGTACAGGTGGGTCACTGGCGAAACTGGTGCTGAGCGGAGGAGGCAGCCCCTGTGCGGGGACCCCAGAGGTCCGATTTACGGAAGGCTTTGCCATACAGTGTGGCTTGCATGCAGAGGAGGCCAGTATCTTCTGCAGGAATCTTGAGTGCGGCCCGGCACTCCAGGCGTCCAGACCCCTCATCGGGGGTCCTGGGGACGAGGGTCCAAAGGTTGTGAACTGTCAGGGAACGGAGTCCAGCATCTTCAACTGCATGTTCAACTTGAACTTTTGGGAGCAGTGCAGGCGTGACACAGACGCCCAGGTGGTGTGTTCAGGTAGGGACGCAGAGCCCAAGGGTCTCTGAGGGGGAGGCTTCCCCTCACAGTTGTGCCCAGGGGACTAAAGGGGACAGCCACTGCCTGGAGGAGAGGCAAGGAGTTTGTCCCCCAGCTGGCATCCCTGCCCCTGGAGGGAGAGTGACTTGGAGTATCCCTAGGACCCTCCTTCCCTCCTGGTGGCCTGAAGTCACCTGGGGAGATGACGCTTTCCTGTGCCAAGTCCTGGACACAGCTCTGATGGCATGTACCAGGGTGTGGTAGGCACTGAAGTTTAAAACTGACCAGGCAATTCAAGTGCCAGCCAGACATGCAGTCCAAGCCCGAGGATGGGGCGATGACAGAACGGGGGCCCTGGACCCTCTGGGGTGCCAGGTTGAGGGGACTGTGTTCATTTTCCCCTGGCTTGGTGGGGCCTTGGGGTGGGGAATGGTGTCAGAATCTGAGTGAGATGCTGAGGGATGGGAGGGGAGGGTCCTGCCAGCCTGCAGGCCCCCAGGAATCTCAGGGCCCGCTTTGGAACCCCTTAGGGCTGTGCCAGGCGGGTGGTCCTGGTCCTCCCAGTGGGACTGGAGGGATGAGCAGATGGGTTACTTCACCCAGGGGCCTACAAAGCGCCTGCCCTTCCCCTGAGGGGCTGTTTCAATTCAGTTGTCTCCCCCAGAACACATCGAGGCCCGGCTGGCGGGCGGCGAGCACCCCTGTGCTGGACGTCTGGAGGTGAAGCGCGGCCTGATCTGGGGCACCGTCTGCGACGCTGACCTGGACCAGGCCATGGCCCACGTGGTGTGCCGGGAGCTGCAGTGTGGCTCAGCTGTATCCATGCCTGGGAGCGCCCACTTCGGCCCGGGCTCCGGGGTCGTGTGGACGGAGGCCTTCCACTGTGCGGGCAACGAATCCCTGCTGTTCCACTGCCCTCGGGGGCCTGGGCACCAGTGTGGGCACAGCCAGGACGCTGAGCTCATGTGCTCAGGGGAAAGTAAGTTCTCATGTGATTGTAAGGGAATTGTGCTCTTAATTTCCTTTGGGATTGTGTGTTGCCAGAATATTGAAATACAACTAATCTTTGAATATTGACCTTGCACCCTCAACTCTCCTGGTTATTAGCTTTAATAGTCTCGGTGGGTTCTGCAGGGTTTTCTATATAGAAACATCTCTGTGGATACGAGTAGGGACAGTTTTACTTCTTCCTTTCCAACTGGAAAGAGCTTCCGTGACAATGTTGAGTAGCAGCGGTGGGAGCAGCACCCTTCTCTTCCTCCTGACACAGGCGGAAAGCTTTCAGCTTTTCACCATTGAGGGTGTTAGCTGTGGGTTTCCCACAAATGCCCTTTATCGTGTTGAGGAATGTCCCTTCTTTTCCTAGTTTGTTGAGTGTTTTTATCATGAGAGTCTGTTGGATTTTGTCAGATGCCTTTTCTGCATCGATTGAGAAGGTCATGTTTTACTTTGTTTATCCTTTGTGCTGTTAGTGAAGACACAGGGTGCTGAGCTTTTCTTTGTCCAGAGATTTTTGTTTATTGATTCATTCTCTTTACTTTCTATAAGTCTGTTCATATTTTCCATTTCTTACTGAGTCAGTTTTGATACTTTGTGTGTTTTTAGAAATCTGCCCATTTCGTCTAAATCACCTAATGTGTTGGGGTGTGTGCTCATAGCATTCACTTATGTTCCTCTGTGTCTTTCAGTTCAGTAGTAAAACCTCCAATTTCCTCTGAGTTTTGTAATTTAGGCCTTCTGGTTTTTTTCTTCGTCAATCTTGCTAAACGTGAATTTTGTTGACTCTTTTCAAAGAATACACTTTTATTTTTATTATTCTCTGTATTGTCTTGCATTCTATACTTTATTTACTTCCACTCTAACCTTTATTATTTCCTTTCTTTCACTAGTTTCAGATCTAGTTTATTCTTATTTTTCTAGTTTCTTAAGGTGTATTTAGGTTCTTGACTGGAGATATTCCTTCTTTTGTAATATAGATATTTGCCACTAGAAATTTTCCTCTGAACACTTCTTCTGCTTTAATCCATAAGTTTTAGTATGTTGTTTTCATTTTCATTCATCTCAAAATATTTTTAGTTTTCCTTGTGATTTCTTCTGTGACCCATTGGTTCTTTATGAGTGTGTTGTATTTGTGAATTTCCCAGTTTTCCTTCTGTTATTGGTTTCTAGCTTCGTTCTACTGTAGTCAGAGATGATATTTTTATAATTTCAATCTTTTAACATTTATTGATTTGTGACCCAACAGGTGGTCGGTCTGTGCTGGTGAATGTTTCATGGGTATTTTAGAAGAGTGTGTGTTCTGTTATTGTTGGGTAGAGTTGTGCTCTGTATATGTCTGTTAGGTTTAGGTAGTTTATAGTATTGTTCCAGTTCTTTATCTCCACATTTACCTGATGTGTAGATGGTCTATTCATGATTAAAAATGAGGTATTAATGGCTCTAGTCATTATTTTAAGATAACCCTTCAATTCTGTCAGTTTTTGTGGGCTCTGTTATTAGATACATATATGTTTATAATTGTTATATCTTCTTTAATCAATATATAATCTTTGCCTCTCGTAACATTTTTTCTTTTTAAAGATTTTACTGGGGAATTGGGGGAGGGAACACTGTGTTTTTCCAGGACCCATCAGCTCCAAGTCAAGTTGCTGTCCTTCAATCTTAGTTGTGGAGGGCGCAAGCTTAGCTCCAAGTCTAGTCACTGCCTTCAATCTAGTCGGGGATGGGCGCAGCCCACCATCCCATGCGGGAGTCAAACCCGGCAACCTTCTTTTTAAGAGCACACACCCTCACCAGCTGAGCCATCCAGCTGCCCGTTGGCAGCTCAGCGGCACCTCAGCTCGGGAACAGCTCACTGGCCCAAGTAGTAATCAAACCGGCGACCCTATTGCTCAGAGCTGGTGTTCTAACCAACTGAGCCACTTGGCCAGCCCAACATTTTTTTTTTTAACTTAAAGTCTATTTTGTCTAATATTAGTATAGCCATTCCAACTCTCTTTTGGTCAATATTTGTATGAATAACTTTTTTTCAGCCTTTCACTTTAAACCAATTCTGTCTTTAGATCCAAAGTGAGGTCATTGAAGATAGCTTATATTGAACTATTTTTATTTTATGAGACTGACGCGCTACCTACTGTGCTAACGAGGCACCTTGAACTATTTTTATTTTAAATCCATTCTACCACTCTCTGCCTTTTAATTAGGGAATTTAATCTCTTTACAATTAAAATAATACTGATAAGGGAATATTTCCTTCTATCATTTTGCTTTTTGTTCTGTATGTCATTTTTTTTTTGGTTTCTCAGTTCCTCTAATACTGCTCTTTTTTTTGTGTATAATTGAGTTTTGTGTACCATTTTTATTCCCTTATCATTTGGGGGGAGGGGGTATATTTTAAAGTTTTTTCCCTAGTGGTTAACCTGGCAATTATAACTAACATCTTAAAATTTTAAAACTCTAGCTTGAATTAAACCATCTTAGCTTCAATAGTATACACAATTCCTGCTCCTATACATGTATTATCATAAAATACATCTTTATACGTTGTGTGCCTATTAAAATAGATTTATAAATATTCTTTTTTTGCATTTGTTTTTTAAGGCATACAGGAAAAATGGAAGAGTAATAAACCCCAAATACAATAATGTTGGATTTGCACTTTCCTACGTAATGACCTTTCTCAGTGTTCTTTATTTAGTAATACGGTTTTGACTTACTGTCGAGTGTCCCTTTATTTCAGCCTGAAGTTCTCCCTTTAGCATTTCTGCTAAGATAGGTCCACTAGCAATGAATTCCCTCAGTTCTGTTTTAATTTTTCCTTCATTTTTGAAGAGTAGCTGTGCTACATATAGAATTTTGGGGTAACAGTTTTTTCTCTCAGCACTTTAAATATGTCATTCTGGTGCTTCATGGCTTCTATGGTTTCTGATAAGAAATCAACTGTTAGAATTATTGAGGGTCCTTATACATGGTGGTTCACTTCTCTTTTGCTGCTCTCAGGACACTCTTTATATTTGGTTTTTGACAGTTTGATTATAATGTATCTCAATGTGGATCTATTTGAGTATAGTCTACTTGGACTTTGTTGAGCTTCTTGGATGTGTAAGTTCATGTCTTTCATCAAACCTGGGAAGAGCTTTTTGTTTGTTTAACCATTATTTCTTCAAATATTTTCTCTACCACTTTTTGTCTCCCCTCTTAATAGGACTCTTATTTTGCATATGTTGGTACACTTGATGGTGTCCCACAGGTTTTTTGGGATCTATTTATGTTCTTTCATTCTTTTTTCTTTCTGCTCCCCAGGCAAGATAATTTTGGTGGGCTTGTCCTCAAGTTCATTGATTCTTTATTTTGCCTGCTCAAATCTTCTGTTGACCTCTCTAGCGAATTTTCAGTTCAGCTATTGTTTTTAAGCTCCAAAAATTCCCTTTGACTCTTTTTAAAATAATTTATATCTCTTGAAATTCCCGATGTGATGAGACATCATCATCCTGGTTTCCTTTATCTCTTTGAGCATATTTAAGACAGTGTATTTATTTTTATTTAAAAAACAATTTTTATTGGGGAACAGTGTGTTTTTCCAGGACCCATCAGCTCCAAGTCAGGTAGTTGTTTCAATCTAGTTGTGGAGGGCGCAGCTCAGTGGCCCATGTGGGGATCAAACCAGTAACCTTGGTGTTATGAGCGCTGTGCTCGAACAAACTGAGCCAACCAGCCACCTGGCAGTGTATTGAAAGTCTTTGTCTAGCAAGTCTAATGACTTAGTTTCCTCAGGGACATTTTCTATTTTTTTTTAAACATGAATGTGTCATACTTTCTTGATATTTTGCATGTATCTTATTTTTTTGTTGGAAGTTGGACATTTAAATATTATTATAATGTGGCAACTCAGAAAATCAGATTCTCTCCCCACTCCAGGGTTTGTTGTTGATAATTGTTGTGGGTTATAGTTCTTTGTTTAGTCACTTTTCTAAGCTCTTTTTGTAAAGACTCTATTTTTTGTCATGTATGATCACCAAGGTCTCTTTTTCTTTATTTTAGAGGTGAGATAGCAATTTGACAGAGATTTTCTTACATGCTTATAGCCAAAAATAAACAAACAAACAAAACTCTTTTGGTCTTGGCATAGTAGCTCTTTGTTGGATTACACCTTCAAGGCTGGCATAGGCCATTTTCCAACTCTGCCTTAGCATCCACTTCCTACCTGGCAGAGCGAAATTGGCCAACTTCTTGCTTCATTAAGTGTTTTTCTGTTGTTGTAAGTTTTTGATTAGATATTAGAGTTCCAAAACAGTTGGCTATGATGGTTTTACCAGCTTAATCATTGTTTAGAGGAGGGATAGGGTTTGGGGGTTCCATCCTTTGCCATGTCTCAGGCTTTCCTTCCCAATTCCAAGGTGTGGCGTGTGTTTAGGCTCACACTGGGAGCTGGGCGCCACAGCATATGCAGACTGGCAGGAGGCTGCTGCGCTCTGCTAATCCCAGGAGTTCTTACTGGTCAGTGAGGCAGCAGCTCTGCAGACCAGCTGCTTCTGCCTTAGTGTTCACTTCCTTCTTGCATGGAGACAACATTCCACAACTTCACTTTTCATTAGTGTTCCCATGTTTTTGCTTACATTTCAGAGTACTGAAAAGTTGATTTTGCTTGTTTCCCCTTAATCACTATTGTAGTGGAGGGGTGCATTTTGGTATTCCCTTATCCGCCATTTATAGTGATGTCAATCCTCAAAGCTGTTTTCTTGCTCTCAGCCTGTCTCTTCCAAGTCTGGGAGTGGACTGTGTTTAACAAAGCTCACATTAAGGACAGGGTCTACAGAGTCCAGAGCAATGCTGACACCCCCACCCCACCAGGGTTCCGGCTGGTCAACGGCAGCAGCAGCTGTGAGGGACGAGTGGAGCTCCAGGTTCAGGGGGCCTGGGCGCCCGTCTGTGCTGCACACTGGGACTTAGCAGATGCCACCGTCCTCTGCCACCAGCTCAACTGTGGCAGTGCAATGGCCACACCTCGAGGAGGCCATTTTGGGGACGGGGATGCTCCCATCTGGCCCGACGTTTTTCACTGTGTGGGGACGGAGCCCTATTTGTGGAGTTGCCCAGTGAGCACCCTGGGGGCCCCCGCCTGTGCCCCAGGAAACGTGGCCACCGTGGTCTGCTCAGGTGGGTCAGCCACAGCGCTGGGCAGAGGGGGCTGAGAGTGGGTGGGGCGCCGGGGGAGGCGGTGGTCCTCTCCACTTTACAGGCCGAGGGTCCCTCCGCTGACACCTGCCAGCCCCTCCCACAGCCCGCCTCTCTCCCCAGGTCTCTCCCATGCCCTGCGGCTGAGGGATGGACAGAGCCACTGCGATGGCCGTGTGGAGGTGTCCCTTGACGGCGTGTGGGGCCGCGTCCTAGACGACGCGTGGAACCTGCATGGCGCCATGGTCGTGTGTGGGCAACTGGGGTGTGGAGGGGCCCAGCGAGCCTATGACGCGCCTGCGCCCAGGCGCGGGGCGGTCGGGGTGGGGCTGAGCCGAGCGCACTGCCTGGGCACCGAGACCCTCCTGACCCAGTGCAACGTGTCCGAATCCCTGCTGGTGCGCGCGGGGGCCTCGCGGGACGTGGGCGTCGTGTGCTCTGGTGAGTGAGGGCCCGCACCCACCGCCCATCCGCCTTGGGGAGGGGGGTGGGCCTCCCTGATTCGGTCTCTCCGCAGGGAGCCACCGGGTTCGGCTGGCCGCGGGTCCCGGCCGCTGTGCCGGGCGCGTGGAGGTTTTCCACTTTGGCGTGTGGGGCACCGTGTGTGACGACGGCTGGGACCTGCAGGACGCACACGTCGTCTGCGAGCAGCTGGGCTGTGGCCGCGCCCTCAGTGCCCTGGGCGCCGCGCACTTCGGAGCCGGGTCCGGACGCATCTGGATGGACGAGCTGGGCTGCGGCGGCAACGAGTCTGCGCTGTGGCAGTGTCCGTCGGGGGGCTGGGGCCAGCACGACTGTGGGCACAAGGAGGACGCTGGCGTCTTCTGCTCAGGTCGGTGCAGCCATCCAGCCTGCAGCCCACTCCGCGGAGAGTTGGGTCTGGCTGACCTGCCTCTTCCTCTGCAGGGTTCACAGATCTGAGGCTTCAGGACAGCAGCCAGCCCTGCGCTGGGCGGCTGGAAGTTTTCTACAATGGTACCTGGGGTGGCATCTGCCAGACCCTGAGTCCCGCCTCCCTGGAAGTCCTGTGTGGGCAGTTGGGCTGTGAGCACCACGGACAGTTGCAGGCTGGGGCTGTGTCGCGGAGGGCCCCTGGGGTCCTCTGGGTGTCTTCCATTAAGTGTCGGAACAAGCATGAGACGTCCCTGTGGCAGTGCCCGTCAGACCCCTGGGACCAGCACTCCTGCTCCAGCCAGGAGGGAGCCTGGGTTGTGTGTGCAGGTGAGGAGGGGCGCTGCTCCAGGACTGGCCTGTTGTGAATCCACTGCAAGGAACACAGCACCCTATTTTTCTGTGGGATGAAACCCCCACCTTCACTTTAGCTTATAATAGTGGGGTGTGCTGGTCCAGCAAGGGTGGAGTCCTTTTCCTGAGTGTTTGAGCTTCCGCCGTTCGTCTGAAGTCTTCTCAAAGCCCCTGCCCCTCCCAGTGGGAGAATCAGGACCCCTGGACTCCACAGGAGCAAGCCTCTTGGAGAAGCCCCCCGACCTGTGTGGGTACCTCTTTGCTAAATGGATAGAGCCCTCTTCTCTTCCTTTAGAAGCAGAAATTCCTGGGGATGGGGAGAAAACTGGGAAAAGAAAAATATTTCACAGAATTTGAAACTGCTAACCTTGCAAAATCAGATGGATCCTAATTTCCTACACAGAAAAGGCGGGACCAGCTCCTCAGGACCCTGGGGAGACCCTCAAGTGCTCAACCACTCAGACCTGCCCAGGTGTGTGCCCTGTCCCCTTTCTGTCCTTTGTCTGGCTTGCCCTGTACCTGCTGACCTGGGCCACTGTGTTTCCAGAGGAGGGCGCCGTGCGCGTGCGCGGGGGCGAGGACCGCTGCTCCGGCCGCGTGGAGCTCTGGCACGCTGGCTCCTGGGGCACCGTGTGCGACGATTCCTGGGACCTGGCAGACGCGGAGGTCGTGTGCCGCCAGCTGGGCTGTGGCCAGGCCGTGGGCGCCCCGGCTGGGGCTGCTTTTGGTCCCGGCTCGGGTCCCGTGTGGCTGGACGAAGTGGCATGTCGGGGCAGCGAGGCGTCCCTGTGGAGCTGCCCGGCGGAGCCGTGGGGACGCGCAGACTGCGGGCACAAGGAGGACGCGGGCGTGCGCTGCTCCCGTGAGTGTGTGGGGCCCGAGGCCGCTTTGTGTCCTTTCTGTGGCCTGGGGAATAGTCCATGTGGTGGGAGGTTTCCTCGTTGCCCGTCCCTTGGGATAAGCTGCTTTGTGGTGGTTTCTCATCATATTTTGGGGACATCTCTTGTGTTTACCCAATCCGTGTCCATTCCTGGGGAGTGGGGTCACCTCGGGTCAAGTGCAGCCTCTGTTGTTTCCTAAGGTGTCTTTTCTCCCAAGCACTGCACCTCATTCTGTTTGCAGAAAACAAAAATGGCGACAGGCATGAGCACAGCAGCTTGCAGCTGTGGATGGCTTTTATCAGGCAGCGATCGGCCCAGTGCCCATAAGTCCCTGGTGTGGCCGCTCAGGGGCCTCTGTTTTGGGGCCAGAATAGCGACAGGTTTAACAAGGGGGCACTTCCCCGTGAGAGCAAACACCTGGTGCCGCCACCAGCACACACCGGCCGATTCTGGGGCGGTCTGCCCAGCAGGGGCCAGCACCGGCTTCCCCCAGCCCTTCTGAAGCCACATGGCGGCCCATGAGGTTGAGGGTGTGGGCCCTGAGGGGCCACCTTCTCCCAGGGGGGCTCACAGACCCCTTACCCATCATGAACCCACTCATGGTCTCTCTTACCAGAGCCTGGTCCCCGCCCCCTGCCGGCCCCGGAGCCCTGCCTGAAGCTCAGGGTGGTCATCACAGTCCTGGGGACACTTCTCGGTCTTCTCCTCCTGGGCCTCCTGGGCCTCCTGGTCCTGCGACGAATGGCACAAGCCAAGCAGAGAGGTACACACAGCCGGGTCCTGTTGTTAGTGTGATAGAAATGGGTGGAAACTCACAACTGGTGTTTCACTGAAAGTGGCCTTTTATTGGCCAAAGAGAGTGACTTAGAAATTAGTTGGAATCAGGCCCCTGGTTAGAGCTGAACCCTAGAAGGTCCCACGTGGATGCCACATTGAGGCTCATTGGGGGCAACACCTGGCTTTCCTGAAACGGGGATGGTGACCAAGGCAAGAGGCACCGGGGGGGGGGTGCTCATCCCATCACTGCAACCCCCAGTCATTGCCCAGAGCACTCTGTCTTTCTGCTGCCTGAGTGGGGTCCCCACCTGGAAGTCCTGCCCCCACCCCTCATGGCCATGGCCATGCTGGGCTTCTGTGTGTGACCGTACTCAACTCTGCCTCAGGACTGGGGAGCTCCAAGGTGTCTCGTGAAGAACCCATGTATGATGTCATCGGGGAGCTGCCTCTAGCGGCGCTGTACGAGGAGATTGGAGAGGCTGAGGGTGAGCCCCAGGGTGCGGAGGACCAGGGTGTGGCCAGGTGCAATGGCAGGTGTGTCTGCAGCTCTGGGGGTGAGCCTGGGGGCGGGGCTCTGGAGGACCAGCAGGAGGGAGCTGCTGACCACAGGGCCCCTTGGATGCGAGGATTCCGTTGGGTATGGGGACGGCAGGAGGAAACCAATGAGGGTTTCATCTGGCAGCCCGTTCTGGGCTGCCAGAGTCCAGTTAGAGAGGGAATGTCTGAGGTGGGGGAGGCCAGGTAGGTGGGTCAGCAGGTGGCAACTGGGTGGGGTGGGTACCTCCTATGCTTCTGCCGCATTACAACTCATGCAGCCTCAGTGTCCTCACCTGGAGGGGTTCATGATGGAACCACCCACGTTGCTGGGACGGGGTGATTGAGGAGCCCATGTCCAGATGCTCTGAGCTCTGTCGAGTGCTTTTTGGTGACACTGCTATGCTTCCCTAACAAGAGGGCAATTAGCAGGCCAGTCCACCCATGATGAGGCACATATAGCTTCTGGGGCAATATGGTGACATGGTATGTCGTGCGTCATTTCAGGAGAGGTGGCGAGCCTCAAGGATGGACAGTCTGCAGCTGAGGAGGGTTATGATGATGCTGCATTTCCTCTGGAGGAGGTGACGCCATAAAGACCTGGAGAAAACTGCCCTGCAGACAGTCCTGGGAGTCACAGTCGTTTCTGCTCTTCACAGTGGTGTCGCATTTCAGAACAACACGGAGGCATCTCCTTTGGTGCCCCGTCCCCCCCACCCCACCTGTCCCCTCATCCTTGTCCACTCTGGGAGATGTTCCTTGTGGACAGTTCCACCTCATAACCGGAGGCTTCCCGTGCATCATGACAAATGCTGACGCATATAGAAATCCTGGCTTGTGTTTCCTGTTTCTCTAAAAGCGTAAGCGGCACCATCTTCATGTGTTACTGTAACCTGCTGCTGCCGGCAGCACCCTGGTGGGCTCAGAGGCACCCGGCCCACTCTGCCTTCATTGTGTTCTTGTAAACTCTTCTTAATTGAACCAGAGTGTCTTGTAGATTTTCTACCCGTGTGACCATGTCATCTGTGGATCCTGTCAGAGTCACCCTTTCCTTCCCCTCTGTACCCCCATTCTCCTTTTTGTGCCTTATTTCTTGGGCTGGGCACCTGTGTCCGACACTGATCGAGACAGCACAGTGGCCCCGGTCTCACTGTTGACCTCACGGTGAGAGTGCTCCAGATTTCGTTCGCTGTTAGATATAATTTTTAATGGTCTTTTTGCCATTGCCATTTATCAGAGGAAGGAAAATCCAGTCTATTGCTAATTTTCTAAGGGTTTTGGTTTTTTTCATGAAAGTGTTGACTTTTAATCAAATGCTTCCCCTGCATCTATTATGACCATATGTAATTTTTCTCCCTTCTGTGGTTAACGTGGTGATTTATATTGATTGATTTTCAAATGTGAATCCAACCTTGGGTTAAACAAAGTAACCTTTGTTGTGATGTATTGTTCTATTTATACGTGACAGAAATCAGTTTGGCAATATGTGGGATCAATAGTTACAAGAGAGATTGATGTGTAATTTTTATTTCTTGTAAATGTTTCTGTTTCATTTGCTGGAATGAGGAGTGTTCATGTCTCATAAAAATTAAGGCATTTCTCTCCTTTAAGAAATACTTGCAAGAATTTATGTAGCATTGGTTTTATTTCTTTGTTAGATGTTCGGAAGAATTGAACAGTGAAGCCTGTGCCTGGAGTTTTCTTTTGGGGAAGTATTGTTTTGTTTTGTTTTCAGATTCAATTTTTAAAACTATAGATAATTGGAGTATTCAGTTTTCTATTTCTTCTTAAGTCTGGTTTGTTAAGTTCTTTTATTGGTGAACTGACAATGTTACGTAAACTTCAAATTTATTGGCATAAAGTTGTTGATAATATCTTTGTACTATGTTTTTATTGTCTGTAAAATCTGTAGTTATGTATATTTTTCAATCCTAACATTGGTAATTTGTGACTTATTTCTTTTATTCTTGATCAGTGTTGTTAGAGATTGATTTATTTCATTAGCATTTTCAAGGGGTTGTGGAACGCGTGCCTTTGGCTGTCTTCGTTTTTTAAATTGAACATCTGATTGTTGTTTCACTTATTTTTGCTCTCATCTTTATAATTTCTTTCTATTTCTTGTAGCTTTTTGCCTGGGATATTTGCACCACTGCTTTTCACCATCTTTTCTTTTTAATGTAAAGTGATAACTTTCCCCTTAGCGTGGCTTCGTAGCATACCAAGAGTTTTGATACGTTGTATGTTTGCTTTACTTTCAACAGCTTTATCAAGGTTAAATAAGTGTGCAATACGTTTTATATGTGTACAGTAAGGATTGGGATGTTCTGACGTATGTACACACCCGTGGAGCCACCACAAGCTCGAAAGTGGGTGAGTGGACACGCCCGTCACTCCCCGAACGTTTTCACGTCCCTCCGGGTGTCTCTCTTCTCTTCCTCACCCCTATACCCCAGGTCATGACTGTTCAGCTTGTTGTCACTGTGGCTTAGTTTGTGCTTTTGAATTTCGTGAGAGTAGAATTATACAGTATGTACTCTTTTGGGGGGTGGGGGAGAAGTTGGCTTTTGTTCATGTAGCATAATTATTTTGTTTAAGAAGCCTGTTTAATCATTTTTGTTCATAAATATAGTTTGCAGCTAAATGTATGAGAGGTATTGATACTAAGTTTTCTTGTTATGTCTTTCTCTGGTTTTAAAACAAGGTAACATTGATGTCAGAGGATGAATTGGACAATATTCTTTTCTGTTTCGTTTGCTGAGAAAGTTTATGTAGAATTGCTTTTATTTCTTTCGTAAATTTTTGGTAGAATTTACCAGTGGAGTCACTAGGCCTCGCGTTTTTCTCTGTGGGAAGGTTTTAAAATACAATTTCAATTTTTAAATAGACCTAAGACTATTCACGTGATCTATTTCTTTTTGCACGAGCTTCGTTAGATTGTATTTTGGAAGGAATTTGTCCATTTAGTGTATGTTTTTGAGTTTATTGGTATGAAATAGGTCACAGCATTCCCTGTTACCCTATAATACCTATGCAGCATGTAGTCATGCCATGCCTTCTGTTCTCGATATCAGTAATTTGTGTCTCCCATCTTTTCTCCTGACCAGGTCAGTCTGGCTAGAGGTTTATTAATTTTACCAATCTTTTCAATAAGCCAGCTTTTGGCTTTGCTGGTTTTTCTTTATTGTTTCCTGCTCTCTTATCTTTATAGCCACACTGCTTTTTATTATTTCCTTCTGCTTACTTTGTGCTTAATTCGCTCTTCTTTTTCTAGTTTCTTATGGTGTAAACTGAAGCAGTTAATCTGCCTCTTCAGGAGAGGGACCCCACTGTGGCCGTCCGTCGGGCAGCACCCCTGCTCCTATGGCAGGGTGACTCTCCAAAGAGTTTATACATTAATTTTTTATTGACATATAATGGACATATAACATTATATTGGTTTCAAGGGTACAACATAATGAATCAATATTTGTATAGATTGCAACATGATCACCACAGCAAGTCCAGTTAATATCTGTCATCACACACAGTTACAAAAACTTTTGCTTGTGATGAGAACTTTTAAGATCTACTCTCTTAGCAACTTTCAAATATGCAACACAGTGTCATTAACTGTCCTCACCATGCTGTACGTGACACCCAGCCTCATTTATTCCATAACTGTAAGTTTGTACCTTTTGACTCCCTTCACCCATTTTGCCCATACCCCATCCCCAGCCTCTGGCAACCACTGATCTGTTCTCTGTATCTAGAAACTCCATGGTTATTTTGGTTTGCTTTTATTTTTTGAGTCCACAAGTGAGATCATATGGTATTTGTCTCTGTCTGTCTGACTTGGCTCACTTAGCATAATACCCTCCAGGGTCATCCATGTCGTTTCAAATGGCAGGATGTCCTTCTGTTTTTGTGGCTGAGTAGTATCCCGTTCTGTGTGTGTGCCACGTTCTCCTTATCCATTCACGCACTGACGGACGTTTTGGTCGTTTCTATGTCTTGGTGATGGTGAATAATGCTACTGTGAACATGGGATGTAGATATCTTTTCGAGTTAATGATTTTGTGTTCTTCAGACGAACACTCAGAAGAGATTGCTGGGTCATATGGTGTTATATAGTTCTTTTAAAAATCTTTTGAGGAACATAGTGGCTGCACCAGTTTGCAGTCCCGCCAGCAAGGAAACCTCGGACAGTTTAAAATGTAGACCCTTTTCAGTCATGTCTTTTGACCATAAGTCAGTACTGTAGAATTAAAAACAAAGGGATAACTTTTATAATTACCTACTTGGCGATTCAAAAACATCCAGGCAAATGCCTTGGGTCAGAGAAGAAGCAGGGCTGGCATGTGGACAACGCAGAAGTCCCCAAGGACAGGCTTGTGGCCTCAGCCCCACGGTTTGCAGCGCGTGTTCCGAGCACGTGGCTATGTCCTGCTCAGTGTCCGGCTTGAGGGCACAGCTCGAGCTGAACACCTTGAGAAAGGAAGGGTCGCACCTTGGGCCCCGCTGGCCCGGCTTCTCCCAGGCCTCAGACCAACACGCCAGAGTCCTGGGGCTGGGCGTGCTGTCCCCAGGTGGGTACGGGCGGTCCTAGCCCTGCCCTGTCTGGAATTACTTTCTCCAAATTCCGCCATTTTCTGGTTATTAACTTAATCTGTTTGCTTGAACTCCTTGAACTGATTAAAATCCAGAAAACAAGAAAACAATGCATAAAATGCTGCAAGCCTTTTCAAAAAGGAAAGGAAGCATTTTGCTCCTTGAACAGAAGTGCATCCGACGGCAGGAAGCTTGTCTTCTGGGCGGCTGTTGTCGGCCTTGGTGACGTACTGACACCCATCTGGGGAACTCTAACCGTGGACACCTGGGTGCAGCCTCAGCCACTCTGATGTCACGGCAGGTGACCCGGCCTGGCCTTCCCGGCGGGCTGCAGTGTGCAGCCCAGCTGAGAGCTGCTGTCCCAGGCTGGACGGGCTCAGGGCTAAAGACCACGTTATGGCCGTGAGCTCAGG